ACGCCCACGCCCACGCCCACGCCCACGCCCACGCCCACGCCCACGCCCACGCCCACACACCCACACGCACACGCACACGCACACGCACACGCACACACGCGCACGCACGCACGCACGCACGCACGCACGCACGCACGCACGCACGCACGCACGCGCACGCACACGGGCACGCACACGCGCACGCGCACGCACACGCACACGCACACGCGCACGCACACGCACACGCACACGCGCACGCCCACGCGCACGCACACGCACACGCACACGCGCACGCACACGCAAACGCACATGCGCACGGAGACGCACACGCACACGCACACGCACGCACGCATGCACGCACACGCACACACGCACGCACACGCACACGCACACGCACACGCACACGCGCACACACACGCACACGGACACGCACACGCACACACACACAGACACGCGCCCACGCCCACGCACACGCACTCACACACACACACACACACACACGCACGCACGCGCACGCCCACGCCCACGCACACACACCAACACACACACACACGTACACACAAACACGCACACGTACGTACACGTACGTACACGTACGTACACACGTACACACGTACACACGTATACACACGCACGCACGTACACACGCACACACGCACACGCACACACGCACACACGCACACACGCACACGCGCACGCACACACACACACACACACGCACACACGCACACGCGCACACGCGCACGCACACGCACACGCACACCCACACACACACGCACACGCACACACACACACACACACACACACACACCGCACACCGCACAGCGCACACCGCACACCGCACACGCACACGCACACGCACACGCACACGCACACACACACACAGACACACACACACACACGCACACACCAACACACGCACACACGCACACACGCACACACGCACACACGCACACACGCACACACGCACACACGCACACACGCACACGCGCACACGCGCACACGCGCACACGCGCACACGCGCAAACGCGCACACGCGCACACGCGCGCACGCGCGCACACGCACACACGCACACACACGCACACACACACACACCCACGCCCACGCCCACGCACACGCACACGCACACGCACACGCACACGCACACGCACACGCACACGCACACGCACACGCACACGCACACGCACACGCACACGCACACGCACACGCACACGCACACGCACACGCACACGCACACGCACACGCACACGCACACGCACACGCACACGCACACGCACACGCACACGCACACGCACACGCACACGCACACGCACACGCACACGCACACGCACACGCACACGCACACGCACACACACGCACACGCGCACGCGCACGCGCACGCGCGCACGCGCGCACGCGCACGCACGCACGCACACACGCGCACACGCACACACGCACACACGCACACATGCACAAATGCACGCATGCACACATGCCCACATGCACACACGCACACATGCACACATGCAGACATGCACACATGCACACATGCACACATGAACACACGCGCGCACGCGCACACGCGCGCACGAACACACACACACACACGCACACACATGCAGCACACACCCACACACCCATACCCACACCCTTACCCACATCACGCACCACGCACCACGCGCCACACACCACATGCCACACAGCACACACCACACACCACCCACCACACACCACACAGCACACGCCACACACCACGCACCACACACCACACACACAGACACCACACGCAGACACCACACACACAGACACACCCACCCACGCGCACGCGTGCGCGCTCGTCGCGTATCAGCACCCCGACCCGCACGCACACATGCACGCGCGCACGCAAACGCGCACGCACACGCGCCCTCGCGCCCGCGCACGCACCCGCCCGCCCGCCCTCCCACCCACCCACCCACTCGCTCACCCACGCAGCCACCCACGCGCGCGCACGCGCGCACGCACACATGATCGAGGGAGCGGGGAGAGGGAGAGCGAGAGAAAAAGAGAGAAAGAAAGAAATGAATAAAGAAAGAAATGAATAGAGAAAGAAAGAAAAGAAAAACACTTAAAACAACTGAAAAGAATAGAAAAGAACGAAAGAAATAAATAGCGAAAGAAAGAAAGAAGGACAGAACGAAAGAAAGAAAGAAGGACAGAACGAAAGAAAGAAGGACAAAACGACAGAAACAAAGAAAGAAATAAAGAAAGAAGCAAAGAAGGAAAGAGAGAAAGAAGGAAGGAAATAAAGGAATAAAGAAAAACAAAAAAACAAAAAAGGACAGAACGAAAGAACGAAAGAAAGAACGAAAGAAAGAAAGAAAGGAGAGAGAGAAAGAGAGAGAGAGTGAGTGAGTGAGTGAGTGAGTGAGTGATTGAGTGAGTGAGTGAGTGAGAGAGAGAGAGAGAGAGACAACCCACCCCGCCCCGCCCCGCCCCCCACCCCACCCCACACCCACCCTCACCCCCACCCCCCCCCTCCCCGCCGCACCCCACCCCACACACCCCCCACCCCCCCACCACAGTTAGGGTGGGCCTTGCCCATCTTTTTATGGTATCCTAGCGTGACCCCCACCCTACGCAAGAACAGCATTTTTCAACCATTTTTTCACTATTCAAATCGTCATCCTTATTCATTATGCATATTTCCACTCAAAACATTTCATAACAGTCTCAACCTCAAAATCCATCAAAAAAGTCACATTTTCTTATTTTCTATTCCACCATGAGTGGAAATAGAAGTATAGGGTGGTTCATATGATATGGTTATTGATGGTAGGATGCATGGGCAAGGTTAAGCTCATTCATAAAAAAATCAAAAATAATATTGTTCAAAAAAGTAATATTTTCAAAAAATAATATTTTCAAAAAAATAATATCTTCAAAAAATAATAATTCAAAAACTAAATTTTCAAAAAAAATCAACAAATAATATTTTCAAAAAAAAAGTAATTTTTCAAAAAATAAATTTTCAAAAATATTATTCCAAAAATTATGATAAATTATCTTACAATATGTTTATCATAAATTTTGTAG